TACCGAGTCCGGGACAAAACGGAGCACGGGGCCTATTACCTCGAAAATCTACGCGGTGAACAACTAGCTCGACCATGGAACGCCGCGAAACTTAAGCGGTACTACAGTTAAAACATTGCCCGCGACGACCCATCGTCCCGACCACTGGGGGGGCGACATGGTACCACCGCACACCCCCGCGTCCACTAGCGACCAAAGAAAAGCAAGCCCTGCCTCTAGTGTGCGCGGGCAGAAGGCCTTGCTCGGCAGGGAATACCTCGACCGAGGCCCCTCGCCGTCGTACCAAAAGAGGCAGGACACCCAGCTCGCGATGGGCCGTCCACGCCCCGGGGAGAACTACCCCCGAAACGGCCCGGCTACATCGCCGACCAAACCGGCCAGTTCCCCGCACTACCGGTAACAAATTGTCGAGCTAAACACACCCAGCGCACACTTAGAAAATTTACAAGAAATGTCATACACATCAGAGGCATTCAAACAAATACGAAAAACGAGCATAAAACGACATGCAAATAACGAGCGCACACTTAGAAAATCCACGATAAATATATTAACAAAAGCGGGCACCAGCCCAGTAGTCAAAGGTACAAATACAGAGCACGCAGGCCCAAAGAAAAGAGATAACAAACATCGGCACGCAGGCCACAAAAACAACGAGCACGCAGGCCCGACAACTTATGCTTCCTCATCCGCCCGGTCAGCAGTCACGGGTTCCTCCTCGGGGACAACAAGATAGGGATCGATCACCTTCCCATCAACAATCTCGTGGTACGGCCCTATCCCGTCCACGGCCAGCACGACACCAGGGTTGGCGACCTGAATCTGCTCGACGGCATTCTTGAACCCGACCTCAACAGCCTCCAGACAATCGCTCTCCAACACCCGGATACGAGCGATCAGGTCAGCACGGGTGATTAACCGTCGATCCCCTTCAGTCTCGTCCTCGGCCGGACGAACAGCGCTGTCCAAAACCTCCGTGCGAACCTTCAGCGCCTGCACCTCGGCCGTCGCTGTCCCCAGTTTTTCCTCCAGCGAGGTCACCTTCCCCTCAGCACCCTCTGCCCGTTTCCGCTGCTCGGCAACCTCCTTCTGGCTCTTCTCCAACTCCTCAGTGAGCTTGGCCAACCGCGACTGCGCGAAAGTGAGATCCCCTTGCAGTTTGGATAGCTCAGCAGCGGAGTAGCCCTCCTCGTTCAGCACGAGAGCCGTCGTGAACGTCCGCATCATTGCGGCCAAATCCTCAGCCAGGACACGTCGGCGGCTCTCTCGATCAGCCTGACGAACAGCCTTCACCTCCCCGGCGGAAACAGTGGGAGAACAGGCACCATGAAAATATCCCGGATGCTGGTGGCAGGGAGGGACGACATAACCTTCCTCGACGGCGCCGACCGTCAGATCCACCACCCGAGGCTCCTCGGACCTTTGCCTCTTCGACGCTCCTTGAGACACAGGAGATTGGCTCTCTTGAGGCGACGAGGACGAAGTTTGCCCCCCCTGCATCGCGACCTCCTGTCCGACCAGCTGACTCACCCTCGTCCTCGGGGCCACGGCATTCCTAGCAGCGCGCAACTGTTTCACCCGCTCCTCGACGGAAGACATGTTCGCTGCAAAAATAAAGAAATGGGTTAGCGACGATCAAAAACCCCGGCCACAGGGGGGAAACGAACATCCCTACCTAGATAATCCAGAGCGGCCGCCCCGGTCCCGCAACCGAGCAAAGTCTTAGTATTTATCAAACGCTTCTTGGTGCGTATGTTCCCCTGAGCGTCAAGAATATATCGACCATCGGGCGTCACCATCTTCGACGGAGGGAGAGACCGCACAAAGGCAATTATTTTCAAATAGGCGGCCATGTCCTTCTCCTCGAGGGTCCCCGCCCGGACGATATACCTATCCGTCCCTCGGCTGAAATGCTCCGCAGTCCACAGTAGATGTATCTTAGGAAGCCACGCGCGGAACCGCTGGCCATCTACCGTTCGCTCGCCCTTGTCGAAGAGAGTGTCCGAGCCGTGTTGCGTGATCGGTTTGACGAGGTAGAACCGATTTTTGAAGTCTTTGACAGAATCGTTGTACGCTTTGAAAATTTTGGTCGATTGCTTGAAGGAGACCCATCCGTGGCGACTGTGCACCGTCTGCCGCTGCAAATGGAAGATACGGAAAAATAACGGCACTGTCGGCTCCACCGAGAGGTAGAAACACACCACCTCGAAAGCCCGGATGAAGGCCAAGGCATTAGGGTGCAGCTGGGACGGGGCAAGACGCAGCCAGTCAAAAAGCCCCAGATGGAAGGCGGAAAACGGTAACCGGAGCCGAGCTTCTTTAAAGTAGAATTCATGCATCGGGAACATCCGCCGCCCATATCGCGAACAGATGCGGTGATGTTCTTTTGGCCGGTACACCTGCCAGTGCTGTGGTTCTCTTATGGGCGTGTCCTCGACCGTGGCGTACACGTCGGACGCGTCGGCCACAAAGCAGGAAGGGGTAGAAAGTGGCTCCTCAGCCGCCCACTCCTCGGACGGGGCAATACGCTCGTCGTCATACTCCGGAACCTCAGGTTCATTGTCTTCGACCATTATCCCCGGCACCAGAGCCGACATCTACACCTGAAAGCAGAGGACAACGGTGAATTCGATAGCCAGGATCAAATCCACCCTTCCACCGCAAGTCAAGTGAAAGGGCGACAAAGGCCGAGAAGCGACGAGCAAACACTCGTCCCCCGTCTACCCTCCTCGGGGATCAAAGGCCGACCCCTCGCCCCCTCTCAGGACGGCCATCGGAGAAGGTACTTCTCCCCGGGGCATTCATCGGAGAAAGCCCCCGTCCTCGGGGCATTCATCGGAGAAAGCCCCCGTCCTCGGGGCATTCATCAGAAAAAGCTCCCGTCCTCGGGGCATTCATCGGAACCAGCCTACCCTCCCCGGGACATTCATCAGAAAAATCGCCAGACACGGCGGGACTCGCGTCCCTCCTCGGGGCGCTCATCGCGCCCCGACCACACATTCCAATTAAACGACGGAAATAAAAAGGAGGGAAAAGAGGGACTCACTTGTAACGGCGGCGGACGGAAGAAAAGATCAACGATACGGCGACGGTCGGCGGTAAGCGGCGGACGAGCAGAGACGACAAAGCTTAGCAGAGAGAAAAGTAACAGAATGAGCGGGGACCTCCATATTTATAACCCGGCGCGGGACTCGAAGCGACCCTAGGCTCATTAATGACATAGGGTAGCCTCCCCTACGACCGCTTAACGCAAGACACGTGGCGGCAACCTGACAGTCGCGTCCCTTCACCTGTTTCCTCCCCGTTCTGCCGACGACCGGAGATCTTCGTGCGAGTGTCCGCTCCAGATGCGACGACCTTAAGTCCTCGCTCTTTCCCCAGAGCTTCGACTTGGGGGGCTCCTGTTCCGGTATGGGCCCAACATCGGCAGGCCCAATACCGCGTGCGGCCCAACAAGCGAACCAGGCGCGCCAGGCACGCGCCCCCTTTGAGACGAGCAGGGCAAGCCGCCGAACACAAGCTACGTCCCCGCACCCTTTTTGTCGGCCACCACGCCGGACGGGCAGAACCGCCCAGGCTCCCCTCCGCGGGGAGAATGACGTGCTCGGCGCACGTTCTCCACGGGCTCCCCTCCGCGGGGACACGTCACCAACCAACTGCCCACCTCCGAAAGAACTGGTCAAACCCACTTTCCGGAGATCTAGGAGCAGTTGGACTAGGGCGAAGACCACGTCCTGGTCTTCACTACGCCACGTAAGCCCTAGCGGTCATTAGGGTTGGGCCTGGTCGTCCAGCCCATCTCAAATGACCGTTGGCCCAGCGCTGGGGTCTCTCTATAAATACCCTCTTCCTCAAGAGGGTCAGGTAACTCTTCTTGCCCCTTTTTCTGTACTATTGCTTCCTCTCTGTCCAACTTCTCACTTGGGCGTCGGAGTGTCTTGCAGGTACACCCCCCTCCTCTTTCTCACCCCGGTGAACAGGTAGCAGCCCGACAGAGTGTGGCCAGTTCGTGATCCCCTCCTGATCAGGACAGATCATAAATATTTATAATTCTAATAAATTATTAATATTTTTTTTAATTACAATCTTAAATATTTATTAATCTTTTGTTTTAGTTTTATTAATTTATCTTTTTCATAATGTTATTGAAATATAATTTTATACATACTTTATAATTTCTCTTTTTTATACAATAACCATTATATTTTTTAATATATTTAAAAATGACAAAAACGGTTTATAATTAAAAAATCACAAAGAATAAATTAGTTTTGATTTTCTAATTTAATTTTCTAATTTTATCATTTATAAATATTAAACAAACACTGTATTATAAAATATGTCATATTTGTAAAAGAAAACGTCATTCTATATATAATAGACTATTTTGCCTGAATTTAGTTTGGAATAAGGTATTTTATAACAATAAAATTTCCATTATATTTTATATTTTATAATAAAAAAATTATTTAATATATTTTTTTCAACATAATTTATCAAGTGATAAAATCTAGATATTTTTCTCTTTGATTTTTCTAAAATTTGAAAAATAATTAGTCGAACACAAAAAAAAATAGTAATGCATTATAAGAAAAAAAAATAGTAAAATCATTATAGAAAATCTTATAGAATTAGAATCAAATATAATAGATAAATATAGATAAAGAGATAAACATAGAGATAATAATCTAAACATGGTGGTAGAAAAATCATTACTTTTTCCCACCGAACAACAACAACACAACAATTTCTCTCAACCGAGCCATGAATTCTCATCCACTCCACAAAATTCAACTTGACCCTTTTTCGTATATAGCAACAGTATTCCAATCAAACACTAAACTCCAAAAAACCATCTCGTTAAAACCAAGTCTATATAAACATCGTATACTCCTAACTCCACCTAATAATACATGTTTGTTACATAGTACTAGTTCGATACATACACCTATATATACATAGTTAACCTTTGTTAGTTCTTCATAGCAAAGATATCTATTATGGGTTCTTCTAGAGGTGATTCAACATCATGGTATTGTGCTATACTTTTATTGGGTATGATATTATTGGGATCAATAAGAGAAAGTACTGTGGCGGAAGGTGAATCGTCAGAAGTAAGAGGGAACCAGTTTGGAGATAACAAGGTTTGTGATGAGATATATGTCGTGGGAGAAGGTGAAACACTTCATACAATAAGTGAAAAGTGCGGTGACCCGTTTATTGTGGAGCGGAATCCACATATCCATGACCCGGATGATGTTTTTCCTGGTCTTGTTATTAGAATCATCACACCGACCAATACTAAGTTTTTGAAAAGATAAACAACGTTCGATTTCGAAATTAGTCTAGTAAGTTGTCTTTGTTTTTTGTCTTTGTATTTGTCTTGATTGTATACAGATTTTCTAAAGATATACTAAAGGAAGAAAAAAAATTGTTTGATCATCGTGTTGATGATGATGATCTCTGTATTTGAATTTTTCGTATTTTTGTGTAAATTATTATTATTGGTGTTCCTCTTCAATTTTATTTAAGCGATTTGATCGTAGTTTCGTTTTGGTTATGTTCTGCCATGGATGATGAGAGATTGAAAAGGGCATCATGTTCTCTGCTTCTCACCAAGCACCGTGATGTTTCTATGTTGTTTTTTATTTTTTTAAATCCTTCTCTTCTTCAAAAATAATTATTTGAGATAATTTTAAAATTATGTAATTTTTTAAAATTTTGATATTTAAAATTTTTTTCAACAAAATGATGAATATATAAATTAATATCTTAAAAATAATTATTCAAATTAAATTTTTATAAATAGTTTCTAAACAAATAAAAAATTTCTTTATAAAATTTTGTATTATATTATAAAGAATATTTTTTTTTAAATCAAAGGGACTTTAATTATCTCACACTTATATGACGTCATATAATACATAGGATAAAAAAGTTAGACAAAATGAATGAATACATTATGTATTACAAAATTGTTTATTCAATTCGACACACTTAATACATGTTGTAAAAACATGTGTATTGAAAAAGTTTTATCAAACAAGAACTAAAAATATTAATTTTAATTAAAGTATTTTTAATTTTTTTTAATAATAAATATATAAAATTTAAATACATATTATATAAAGTTTAATTGATATGATCTGACAGTATAAAATAATTTTAATCTGTTATTTTATATAATTAATTTAATATAAAATTTATACTATAATTTAGTAGAATACACTAGAGTTGTAAGTTGACAATTTGTTAGTGTATATTAATTAAATTTTGACATTATCATTATTTGAGTGTTTTGTTTTTTTTACTTATGTTATTTGAATTTATGTTGTGTCTAATTTTGGTATTAGATTCTGATTATATTCTTCATTTAAATTGTTTGGTGTGAATAGACATGAATTCAAATAAAATAATATGCATTTATGTGTAGAGACCAAGAATGATTTATTTTAATATTGAATTAACAGATAACACAATAGAAAAATTGAGAGTATAATTATTCTCTGGTGTGTTTTTGTTTATACAAAAAAAAAAAAAAAGTCTTGCTTAAAACTGTTGGTTGGACTATGTATGAACCACTTGCCTGAAGTGGAAATATTTTTTATTCGTTGAATATTAATCAGCTGACATATTAATGAACAATTGACAGAAGGCTAACTATATACGAATTTTAAAGCATGGTTGAAATTTACTTTATTAATCACATCATCTTGAAAAAATATTTTCACCCTCTTTAATTTTTTTTTTCAAATAAAAATATAGTTATGCAATCATGTTTTAACTTAATATTTTTTGTTTAAAATTAATTAAAATTATTTTATAAATTTATTTTTAATGTGTCAACACGAAACTATTTGACTGGTCCGACCCAGCCCATAAAAAATGTTGTCCCAAAAAATAGTGTCGTGTTTTTAAACCTTTTGTGTTGTCTATTCCACTCTAGAATATTGGAATAATGAGTCGGTTCAATACGCAGAGTTCATTTTGACAACTCTATATACCGCTATCAACTAAGATGACTTAACAAAACAATTTTAAAACATGTTTGATTATGCAGTGAAAATTAAAATTTTAAAATAAATTTATTTTATAAAGTTAATTTGGATGATTTAAATAAAAATGATTTATATTTGAATATATTAATATAGGAAGTGATTTAATAAAAAAAATTAAAATTTATATTTTGATTCAAAAATTATAAATTTTATTTTGAAACTAGAATAAATTTAAAAAACAACATCATTTATATATGAAAGTAATTAAATATGTCAAAATTAACTTCATATACGTGTAATAAATTCTAAAAGCTCTAAATCTAAAATCAAACATAAGCTAAATATGTGTTTGATTTACGTTAACATGGAAAATGAATTTATTAAATAAATTTGATTTTGGTTAGATTATGAGTTAAACTTAAAGTGATTTTTGTTTGAATTTTAGTATATAAATTATGTTTAAAATTCAATACTGTAAACTCTAACTTCTAATAAAATTATTTTTAAAATAATTTTTTTTTTTTAAAATCAAACACATCAGTTCAATTCTATTTCTCTATAATTATTTCATAAAAACTAAATATACAATAAGTCTATAAATGATCTATTAATTTTGTGACAATGATTAATAAAAAGGCTAAGATACTATAAGATAGAGTTGATTGATAAAAAAATGTCAACTTCATCCTTAAATGATGAGAAGAGGTGGGAGATCGTTATGGACATAAAAAATGAGGATAGAAGTGATATTAAAATCAGTTTGGGTCGGGTGTAAAAGAAAACTAAAGTGATATTAAAATCAGTTTTGGTTGGTGTAAAAGAAAATTATGAATGAATAATCATTTTTTAAAAAATAAAGATGTCACAGTTAATTTGTTTTTAAATGCATTTTTTGATCCTCTGATTTGGATGTTTTAACAATTGATCTCTTTATTATAAAATCAACGATTTTTTGATCCCCTAATTTTAACGTTTTAAACAATTGATTCTCCTAACTTGGACGCTTTAAGCATCATAAAAAAATGGTTCCAAGGATTATTGAACCTTCAACACTTCAAACATGTTGAGAAATTCTTGACACTTTGAGGTGTTGATAAGTTGCCTTTAGTTGATCATACTTTGAATCTCTTGATAATAGATGAGGTCATTGCGAGGACTTGAGCTTGATTCTATTTCTTCTTCATCTATTTTCTCATTGTGTGGCATGTTTTAGGAGAATGATTTTGTGTCATTTCTCTAACATGTTTTTAGAACATAAATTGTTATTGATCGATCTCAGATAGGTGTGGTTTCTACATAAGTCCACTTACGATTGCTTAACATAGCGTTAAATTGTCCCGATTCGATAAAGCGATCATTCGATCAATAACCATTAACTACTAACTTCTAACTTTTGACTTCTACATTATCAAACTTTAATTCTTGCAATTTATTTTCTCATCATTTACTTTCCGCAATTTACTTCATTGCTCATTTATCATTCATGTCTTTAGTTTATGTCATTTTCTTCTTTTTGATATTTGTTTCCCATTTTATGAAAAACATAAAAACATGATAAAAAAAGAAAAGACCTAAAAAACTTGTAAGACAAGAATGGACTGTGGACTGTGCAGATGACCTTAGCATTATGGAGTTCTAGACCTAATTTTTGACACTAGAAAAAGAAGACTTGTATTTGGACTCTTGTTTTCATTGTCTAGCCTAGAACACTTTGCACACGCACAACTTTCTCTTGGGCTACCTGACAACGAGACTCTTTATTTCTCGCATCAACTTCCCTTGTATTTTCATGTACCCCTTTTCCTATTTTGGATGTACTTTCTTTACTTTCTTGCTTTTCTTTGGTTTAATTTCGCTTGATAGATTTCCTTAGGGGCTAGGACCGACCTCACCTTTTTCTCAAGCCTTTGATCCAACGTCAAATGGATTCTCTTAACCCTTGTAATTCAATCACCTTGTGCATCGCCATCGACCATTTTTCTCAAAGTCTTGATCCAACGTCAAGTGGTATTCTCCTAACTTGTAAGTCGACCGCTTCGTGCGTCGCCATAAACCTGTCCCATTTCAATCTCAAAACATTTTCATAATCTTCTCGTAGCAATAAAACCCTTTATCCAACGTCAAGCAGACTTTTCTCAAATAAATTCAACAAATGTGAGGGGTGATAATACCTTCCTCTTGCATAATCGACTTTTAAATCCGGTTTTGGTTGTGATGATCATAATATATCCTTTCTTATCCTTCTCGCTTATGGGTTTTATCGATATTTTCTTTTTCCCTCTTTAGGAATAAATAAAGTTCGGTGGTGACTTTATTAAGTCTATCCCGCGAGCGCGCAATTGCACATCACGATACTGTCTCTTATTTTTCGAGGTACAATAGATGGCGACTCTGCTGAGGACCTCTTCCTTAAGCAAGTTAAGCCTAGTCTAGGTTGCCTTCTTCACATATTTGGGTGTTTATCTTTGTTCTTTGCTTGCTTTATTTATTGATTTTTTATGCTTTCTATATTTGTACCATATATGTCGTGGCTCTCTTATGTTGTGTTATGGTTTGGATACACTGGTTGCAAACCTTGTGGGAAAAACTCTTTATCCGAGTCAAGAGTGTGAACTTGAGATAGGATGAGGTTGAGTATATGTGCCACCGAAAAGCTGTTCTCGTAAGGGTTAATACGAGAACCTCACTTATAGTAGATTCTATTGAAGATATTGAAGACCATCAAGTTGTTGGCGTAAGAGATCAATGTTTTCATTGGGATCCATGACTCTAAGGACATTTGTATAACCTTGAACCATTGGCCAACTAGGATTGATGGTCGCGTAGCGCGGGTCCCCAAGAAGCTTTTCTCACGTGGTTCGGTACGAAGATCTCACTCAGAATAGACTTTCTTGATGGAGTTGTTGTCTGGCAATAACTGACATATGTAACGCCCGTTTTATTTTGATTAAATTCAATTATGACTTTGCTATGTCTCGTTGCGTCGTAGTCGTAGTTGAGTATGTGTTTGGATCGAAGGAAGGAAATTGAATCGGTCGAATTGTCGGGAAAAAGTGTAAAATTCCGTAGCGGTTTTAGGAAACTTCGAAAAATCATATCTCTTGATCCGTAAGTCAGATTTGACCCCCGTTCGAAGCGTTGGAAAACTAAAGAGATGTTCTACCTAGAAAAAAATTGAATTTTTCTGATATAACGACCGTCATGGACTTGCCACGACCGTCACGACCGTGACGCTCGTCATGGACTTGCCACGACCGTCATAGTAACGAAATTCAGTTAAATGCAGAATTTGGATGTGGCTGAGAGTGGGTAGCAAAAATACA